TCCATTGGTGGAACCACTGGTCTGTTTGTGGGAGCTAGCCTTTTGAGTTTTGTGGAGATTTTGTATTATGCAACCATACGCCCTTATGGCAGCATGATGGCGAAGAAGCGTCAATTACGTCAGCAAAGGCAGCAATAATTCATGTGGAAACATTTAAGCTCAACGGAATGATAAACTAAATTTTCAACAATTTTATTGTTATTACAAATCTCTGAAAAATCACTGAATAAAACATTGCTTTATTAAGCGGAAATAAATATTAAATATTTAAATAAGGAAGCAAATTGCTTTTATAAATATTTCACACTTAGAGGACCTTAAGTTCAATAAAAGATATTAGAATACCTCCAGCTATCCCATAACTACGAAAATACTTCAGGATTTCTAATAGGTAGCAGAAGATATCGAATCTTTCTATAGAAAATTGAATAAGTTCTCAAGGTTGTATATTCGTAAAATTTAGGTCTTATCATTTTTCAATAAGGAGGCAGGAAAGCTTCGTAAAACTAGAGATGTACAGAAAGAGTGATAGAGAAATGTAAGCTTTATTCGGTGGGTCGCATTAATGCTAATATTACACATTTTGGACACAAACAAAGGCAAATCGGATAAAGATATATGTGGGAGCTATATCTAAACATTGACCTTTTATCTCCAATTTCAAGAGCGTCCGTCATTGAGCCAAAAATAGACTTGTGACAAATTTCATCTCGGTCGGACAATCAATGCGACTTGTTCTTTGTTTACAAAAATGCATGGACAGACGGACGGGCATGCCCAAATCGACTAGGAATATAATTATAGGCAGATCATCAAGAGGAAGTATGGATCTACCTTGCATCCTTCTCCATGTTGGAAACAAATTCACAAAGACATAATACTCTGACTACAGTATGGTATATGGTATAAACATTAAAAAAAAAAAAAGACAATTATAATCTCAAACCAGGAAGGAAAAGTCAAAAGTCGGGTGGGTCGACTATAAGATACCATAAACAACTATGCATATTTAGTAGAGCTCCCGTAAAAAAGTATTACTTTGAAGTAGATCATATCACCTATCAACATTTGACTTTAGAACATTTATAATCGGTTTTCAGAGGGAACTGAGATATGGGAGGAGGCATATCCAATCCTGAATCGATTTTTACTAAATTTGACGGAGATATTTTTCATTTAATTCCAAATAGCATTGCTATAGAGTGCATGCTACCACTTCGAGAAAGATTATATTAAACAAATATCGGATCTGAGTTCCACAAAATGGAAACGCAAGTCCCGAAATCCACTCCATTTGGGCTGATATAAGCCATTATTCTCACAATAAATCTGAAATCAGATTAAGGATATATGGGAGCTATATCCAAATCTTAGCCGCTCTCGATACAATTTGACAGGGGCATTTATAGCTCCATAAGTTATCTGCTACCAAAAATTATTCTTGCGGAGTGCATATTACGAATGTGGGAGACTAAAACACCAAATCGGATGAAATGTATATATGGGAGATATAGCTATATCTGAGCCGATTTTCTCCAAATTGGATGTACTTGTTTCTAGACTGAATTCGGTCGAATGTACTAAAAAATATTTGGTTTACTATTAACCCGAAATCGGTTGAAGATATATATGGGAGCTATAAAACAGTGTTGGCTTTGTTTGTTGTTGTAAAATGGTCAGGCTTAATTCCTTTATTGTTGTTTTTATAAAAACAACGTTTGTTTATTATTGGAGAACGATGGTAATGTTTACCAAGGAGCTATATCTAAATCTGATCCCATTATCACCAATTTCAATGGGGTTCCTCCTTGGCCCAAAAAAATATTGTTTGGAAAATTTCAGCTCAATCGGATAATAAATGCGACCTGCATTTGTAAATCGACTCAGAAAGTGGTTCTATGAAGATCCTCAAAATAATTATGGGGCTATAGAACAACTCACGATATGTCCTTAAAAAAGTTAAAAATTACCCTCTGCTCTGCTTTTTCCAATGATAAAAATGTTAAAAAATATTGAAATAATTAAAATTAAGAAAAATTAAAAACCCATTGTTTCATCTTCAAATACTATTTAATTACTATTTATTTCACGATTATGACCTAAAAAATCCCCCTGCCTTACCCCCTGTTATACATGTCCACTTTTCTCCACTGGTAAATAAACGCGGTTTTTATAAAAACCATAACTACTTTGGAACAACAAAATATTTACATATATGTCCTCAAAAATATTAATACCTTCAAAGCATTATTATAACCTCTATTAATTCCCAAAAGATATTTAAAAAATCTATTTAAAAATATATAATCTGAAAAACATTAACAAATTCACAATATGACCTGAAAATGTTTTGAAAGTTCTCCAGTTCAAAAAATGCAAAAAAAATTAAAAGAAAAAACAATTAAGAAAAATAAAAAAAAAAATGTTCGAGAAAGTATTGTAAGAAAAATTCAAAGAAATATAAAAAAATATTATTAATTAAATTTACAAATCCAAGATGGCGATTTTATTATGAAAAAAATATCAAAAAGTAAACTACAAACATATTTAAACAAAATGTGAGTTTTTAAAAATAAATAAATATCCTCGAAAACATCGATTTTCTATGACTATAACTCTCTATGAAAGACTTCTTGAAATACCAGGACATACTTCCTTTTTATCCAAAAAATTGTTTTTGCTTTTTTGAAAATTTGATTTGAGTGTATTTGTATAAAAAAAGGTGATTTGAGTTGCGTGGCTTCGACTTACATCGCTTTTTTCCGTCCCATGTACGACACAAGTAGGGGCCCTGGTGTATTTGGTGGTGTATTTTTTTAAATATATTTTGTAATATACATTTTTTATATTTTGTAAATATATGAATAAAATAAATGAATACAGCACATATTAATAAGTAAAGAAATAATAATAAATAAGCAAATAAATAAATAAAAATGAAATAAATATTAAAAAAACAACGATGCAATAAAAATGCCAAAAACAGAACATTCTTGAAGATTTTTTAACCATGTTCCTCAAAAACAAATTTTTCACCCACGATCGTTCAGAAAATAATAATAACAAGTAAGCAAAGGCTACAGTCGAGCGGGGCCGACCGTTTAATACCCTACAACACTATAATAAACGATACAGTTTATATAGGCGAGATACTCGAAAGAATTCCACAAGATATTGCGACAAATAATAAAAGAAAACTATCAGGTTCTAATTTTCGAATAATAGCAACTTAAACTAATTTGCTCATTTCCAATTTATTGGTAGATGTTGCACGTAAATGGTCTTCCTAGATCTGGAACCAATATTTCCCAAAGACCTATAATCTCTCAGAAGTGGCAAAAATTTAACATTTATTATTGGTTTTTGACTAAAACGCATCTATATGAGATACAGACATTTGACTTTATTCTTCAATGAAATCAGCCTTAACGAAATAGTCAGAAGTGCGTCTTTCCTGTATTTGTGAATTCTCCAAAAAGTCACTGGAATGGACATTTTCGTATTTTGCCTACAAAAGTTGGCAAACTATTTCACACATTGAATATTTTTGGATGGCCATCCGAAACTGCTTAGGTTTTGCAATGTGCGGTAACCCCCATTCAAATGTGAGTGAGGATCGGGCGTTAATTACGACCTGCTGAAAATTTTGCAGTTTTTTGGTCCATTTCAACCCCTAAATATATGGCGATCATCTCCAAAAAAAGTAGGCATCTATTCTGATCCTCATCTTATCTCCATGCAAAATTTCGTAAGGATCGGGCCATAAATGCGATCTGTATATGATATCCTGATATCGTAACTACTTAGTTTTGTTAGCTGTAGAAATATTACCAAATGTTTAATTCAAAATGAAAATATGCCAAAAATATGAAAAAATTGAAAAAATATGAGAAAATATTACAAAATCAATATTTTCATCTTTAGAGAGATATTTTTATGCGATTTTTTTATACGTTTTTTCTTTCCTGCCAAGAGGCCATTCTGAATTAATGAGAACTGTTGAAATCAGTTCAGACGTTCTCGACATATAAGAGATCTTTCAAGCATATATTCTTTGATAGACATATATATCGCACATATATCCGATTTGTTGGATGTTAACATCAATGTAAAGGTCAGAAGAAACCTTGTCATGGCTTTGTGATTTTGCCGGGATTTAAAATATTCGCGGTTTAATGAAAAATTTTGAATTTTTTCAACAAAAAAGATATGGTCTATTTTACCCGCTAAATATTATCCGATGACCACCCAAATTGGTATGATTCTTCCCCGTCCTAAACTCTAGCTACATGCGAAATTCCGCGTCGATTGGTCTATAATTGCGACCTGTATAGCTACTGCAAAATCCGACATTTATTCAGTATTTGGTCCATTTCAACCCCTAAACATTTGACGATCATCTCCAAAAGAAATAGGGTTCTATTCTGACCCTAACCCCACCTTCGTGCAAAATTTCGTTAGGATCGGGCCATAATTGCGACCTGTAGAGTGATTACAAATTAACATGGACAGACGGACAGACGGACAGACGGACAGACGGACGGACGGACATACATAGCTAGATCGACTCAGCTCGGCGAGCTAGGAAGATCCATATATACTTTCCTATATGGGAAACCAATATTTCGAGGTGTTACATAATTTTTGGCCCAATCAAACTTATAATACCCCCAACACATAGTGTTGTAGGGTATAAAAATTATTTTATTTTTTTGTATTATTATTTCAAAATAGTATTTAATTTTATATTTTAATTAGCAAACGGAGCATGTTGTTTTATCAAAAAAAAAAAAAAAAAACATTGTAAGGAAAAACCTTATACCGCTTGGCGTCAACCTTGTCACCTCCCATGAAATATGATGCCCCATGTAACAAATGCTGATAGCCGGGTACACTTTCAGATAAATATTTGCATTGTTGCTGGTGTTGTTGCTGCTATTGTAGCACAAAATGCAACGTATACAACTCCAATTAAGAATATTTCTCAGTTGTTTGTGTAGAACTCACGTTGTGATATGAGGCAAAAAAAGTGTTTTTTTATCAGCATAATTTCTTCAAGAAATGTGAACGGAATGCCAAAGCAGCCAAAAAAAAATAATGAGTCAATTTTGCGATTGGGCTAATAAATTGGAAGATATAACGAATTTATTGGTCGTTCATTGATATGGAATAACGTTGGTGGGAATGTATGTTGGACACTTGAGTAAATGACGATTAGATTAAATAACAAACAAACACAAAAAATATAAATAAAACTGAAAACTAAAAAAAAGAATTACGCTCAACGCAACGCAACTGTTCGATAGGGAGGTGTAAAAAAGTGCCGGGCAAAGAAAGTCGTTCACAAATGCATGCCCGCTTGTCAGTGGATATTAACAAGTCGGCAAGAATAGAACAAAAAACACAACTCAGCTAGAAAACAAAAACATAATTGCAAAAGTGTTATAAGAAATAAAAAAAAAAAATAACAACAACAAGAAAGAAGTGTCAACACAAGAAAAGTGCAACAACAACAATTTTGTTTTTATTTTGGTTTTCGAAATATTTTTGGAAAACGGCCAACAAAGAAAAAATATAAACAACATTTTGAAATTTTTTTTCCTATGAAATGGCAACAATGTTAAATGAAACTGTGGCAACTGTCATTAGTGCCAAACAGTGTAAACAAATTTTACAAAAATACAACGAGGAACATGAAACGGATTTGAAGCTGCTTAGCTTTAGTGTTAGCCCAGCGGAAGAGGTAAAAGGTTTCTTGGGGGAATATTTTCATTTGAATTTGCTTTGCACGGAGGCGACAGAGGCAACAGCAGCAGAAGCTGAGGTGAATGAAAATGATGAAGAGGTGAGAAACAACAGTTTAATTGAAAATTGAAGCATACTTTTAGGCTTCCTTTTGATATTTTATAGTTATGCGAGGAGGAAAGCAATGAAAGGGAAAATGACGATTTTGAGGAGGATTTCATGGGCCAGAGTCTGAAATTTTTTATCAAGAAGCTGCCATTGGTCCATGAGCTACACGAAAAGGTGGTTATATTCCGCAAAGAATGCCGTTTGTACAGTTCTCTGTTGATGGAATTGCAAGAATATTGTGAGTATAAACCAAAGTCGGGCGAGGTCTACGTTTATTGATCTCCTTGTTGTTGAAAAAATATTTTTAAAAAATCCACGTTTATTGATCTCCTTGTTGTTGAAAAAATATTTTTAAAAAATCCACGTTTATTGATCTCCTTGTTGTTGAAAAAATATTTTTAAAAAATCCATGTTTATTGATCTCCTTGTTGTTGAAAAAATGATTTTAAAAAATCCACGTTTATTGATCTCCTTGTTGTTGAAAAAATATTTTTAAAAAATCCACGTTTATTGATCTCCTTGTTGTTGAAAAAATATTTTTAAAAAATCCACGTTTATTGATCTCCTTGTTGTTTAAAAAATATTTTTAAAAAATCCACGTTTATTGATCTCCTTGTTGTTGAAAAAATATTTTTAAAAAATCCATGTTTATTGATCTCCTTGTTGTTGAAAAAATGATTTTAAAAAATCCACGTTTATTGATCTCCTTGTTGTTGAAAAAATGATTTTAAAAAATCCACGTTTATTGATCTCCTTGTTGTTGAAAAAATATTTTTAAAAAATCCACGTTTATTGATCTCCTTGTTGTTGAAAAAATATTTTTAAAAAATCCAAGTTTATTGATCTCCTTGTTGTTGAAAAAATATTTTTAAAAAATCCACGTTTATTGATCTCCTTGTTGTTGAAAAAATGATTTTAAAAAATCCACGTTTATTGATCTCCTTGTTGTTGAAAAAATATTTTTAAAAAATCCACGTTTATTGATCTCCTTGTTGTTGAAAAAATATTTTTAAAAAATCCACGTTTATTGATCTCCTTGTTGTTGAAAAAATATTTTTAAAAGATCCACGATTATTAATCTCCTTGTTGTTGAAAAAATATTTTTAAAAAATCCACGTTTATTGATCTCCTTGTTGTTGAAAAAATATTTTTAAAAAATCCACGTTTATTGATCTCCTTGTTGTTGAAAAAATATTTTTAAAAAATCCACGTTTATTGATCTCCTTGTTGTTGAAAAAATATTTTTAAAAAATCCACGTTTATTGATCTCCTTGTTGTTGAAAAAATATTTTTAAAAAATCCACGTTTATTGATCTCCTTGTTGTTGAAAAAATATTTTTAAAAGATCCACGATTATTAATCTCCTTGTTGTTGAAAAAATATTTTTAAAAAATCCACGTTTATTGATCTCCTTGTTGTTGAAAAAATATTTTTAAAAAATCTACGTTTATTGATCTCCTTGTTGTTGAAAAAATATTTTTAAAAAATCCACGTTTATTGATCTCCTTGTTGTTGAAAATATATTTTTAAAAAATCCACGTTTATTGATCTCCTTGTTGTTGAAAAAATATTTTTAAAAAATCCACGTTTATTGATCTCCTTGTTGTTGAAAATATATTTTTAAAAAATCCACGTTTATTGATCTCCTTGTTGTTGAAAAAATATTTTTAAAAAATCCACGTTTATTGATCTCCTTGTTGTTGAAAATATATTTTTAAAAAATCCACGTTTATTGATCTCCTTGTTGTTGAAAAAATATTTTTAAAAAATCCACGTTTAATGGTCCGATGGTTGTTGAAAAAATATTTTTAAAAAATCCACGTTTATTGATCTCCTTGTTGTTGAAAAAATATTTTTAAAAAATCCACGTTTATTGATCTCCTTGTTGTTGAAAAAATATTTTTAAAAAATCCACGTTTATTGATCTCCTTGTTGTTGAAAACATATTTTTAAAAAATCCACGTTTATTGATCTCCTTGTTGTTGAAAAAATATTTTTAAAAAATCCACGTTTATTGATCTCCTTGTTGTTGAAAAAATATTTTTAAAAAATCCACGTTTATTGATCTCCTTGTTGTTGAAAAAATATTTTTAAAAAATCCACGTTTATTGATCTCCTTGTTGTTGAAAAAATGATTTTAAAAAATCCACGTTTATTGATCTCCTTGTTGTTGAAAAAATATTTTTAAAAAATCCACGTTTATTGATCTCCTTGTTGTTGAAAAAATATTTTTAAAAATCCACGTTTATTGATCTCCTTGTTGTTGAAAACATATTCTTAAAAAATCCACGTTTATTGATCTCCTTGTTGTTGAAAAAATATTTTTAAAAAATCCACGTTTATTGATCTCCTTGTTGTTGAAAAAATATTTTTAAAAAATCCACGTTTATTGATCGCCTTGTTGTTGAAAAAATATTTTAAAAAAATCCACGTTTATTGATTTCCTTGTTGTTGAAAAAATATTTTTAAAAAATCCACGTTTATTGATTTCCTTGTTGTTGAAAAAAATATTTTTAAGAAATCCACGTTTATTGATCTCCTTGTTGTTGAAAAAATATTTTTAAGAAATCCATGTTTAACGGTCGGGAGGTTGTTGAAAAAAATATTTTTTAAAAAATCCACGTCTATTGATGTCCTTGTAGTTGAAAAAATATTTTTAAAAAAATCCACGTTTATTGATCGCCTTGTAGTTGAAAAAATATTTTTAAAAAATCCATGTTTAATTGTCCGATGATTGTTGAAAAATATTTTAAAAAAATCCACTTTTATTGATCTCCTTGTTGTTGAAAAAATGTTTTTAAAAAATCTTCGTTTATTGATCTGAGCGTTTTATTTTTGATTTTTTTTTATTTCTTGAAAACACATTTCTTCTAATATTCCCCTTTCTTCTTTTTCATAGCTCCCCAACCATGGTGTCCCAAGGTGTACCTGAGCTCTTCCCAATTGCTAGTCTTACAAGATCTCGAAGACAGTGGCTATCACTCCCTGAACAACAAAGAACACCTAGAAGAATCCGAAATTTTTGCCATACTCAAGGGGTTGGCGGCCATGCATGCATCCAGTCTTCTCTATGAGCTCTACGACAAAACCATTGAAGACAACTATTATGACTGCCTTAAAGAAATCACCGTGCATCCAGATATACCCTGGTTTACAACGGGCCTGCGGGCACTATTACAAATAGCAAAGCTACATCCAAACTTCCAAGAGGAAGTATCACAGGAATTTATCGATAAAGAGTTGCCATATCATTTGAAATCGGTTTACTTCATGGTAAATCCCTCTCCAAAATATCGTAATGTGGTGTGTCACAGAGACACCTGGGGTGGTAATATTTTCCTAAACTCTGAAGATCCTGATGACGCTGCCATGTTTGTTGATTTTCAAACCTGTCGTTATTGTCCACCAGCAATTGATATCATTTTTACTCTCTTCATGAATCTAACGAAAGAAGAGAGAGTGGCAAGAGAAAATGAGTATTTACATTACTATTGGAGTGAGTTCAAGAGAATATTGGCCGCCAATGATGATGATGGCGGAGAGAGTTGGGGTCTCAGTGAAACGGAATTTTTCGAATCTTATGAAGAGTTTAAATTATTCGGTTATGTTTATCGTGCCTTGGCTGTGACGATTTTAAATGTTCCCAAAGAAATGGTAACAGAGGAATATAAAAATGTAGAGAGAACAGAGCCATTGCTGAGATATATGGAAGAGAATGAGGAATTTCGCTTGCTCATGGACGAATGTGTGGAGGATGTAATTGAAGCTGTAGTGGAAATTAGGACAAAGGAGGAAAGTTTTTAGAATTTAAACAGAATTTCTTATGAAAATGTGTAAATAAAAATTGTAAATAATTATGAAAATTTTTATTTTAATGTATTTTTTTTTTTTTTTTTGTAAATCCATCAGGGAAGTTTTTAAGAATATAATAGAAAAAGGAATTTTTAAAATAGGTTTTTAAAAAAATCTTAAATTTTAAAGAGGTTATTTATGAAGCCATTCAGATGAGTAAGCAGTGATTTTTTTAAATATTTTTTGAACCAGCATCCGAACAATAAACATGGAATTTTAAAGAATATATTTTCACCAACAAAGAGGCCAAAAAACGTGGATTTTTTAAAGAATATATTTTCAACAACCATCCGACCAATAAACGTGGATTTTTTAAAAAATATATTTTCACCAACCATCCGACCAATAAACGTGGATTTTTTAAAATATATATTTTCACCAACCATCCGACCAATAAACGTGGATTTTTTAAAATATATATTTTCACCAACCATCCGACCAATAAACGTGGATTTTTTTAAAGAATATATTTTCATAAACCATCCGACCAATAAACGTGGATTTTTTTAAAATATATATTTTCATAAACCATCCGACCAATAAACGTGGATTTTTTTAAAGAATATATTTTCATAAACCATCCGACCAATAAACGTGGATTTTTTTAAAATATATATTTTCATAAACCATCCGACCAATAAACGTGGATTTTTTTAAAGAATATATTTTCATAAACCATCCGACCAATAAACGTGGATTTTTTTAAAGAATATATTTTCATAAACCATCCGACCAATAAACGTGGATTTTTTTAAAGAATATATTTTCATAAACCATCCGACCAATAAACGTGGATTTTTTTAAAGAATATGTTTTCATAAACCATCCGACCAATAAACGTGGATTTTTTTAAATAATATATTTTCATAAACCATCCGACCAATAAACGTTTTGGGATATTCATCCGATCAGAAAGCGTGGTTTTTTAAAGAATATTTTTCGAATATCCATCCGACCAGAAAACGTGGATTTTCTAAAGAATATTTTTGGAATATCCAGTAAATTATTTTCTTTGGAAATGTTGTCATTTTGTGCGGGAGGCACCAGAAGGATTTGACCGATATTGCCCACCTCCGAACTTTACATAAGTTTACATAAAGTTTGGATCAAATCGGATACTCCCTTCGAGAGTTATCGTGCGCACCAACCAGCCAGACAGAGAGACGGACGACAAAGCTGGATCGATTCCAAATGTTCTGAAACGGATCTGGTTCAAAGAGACCTAGGGTCTAAAACCGTTATTTCGATAAGGCACGTTTCGATAAAAATAATTTAACTTGTTTTTAAAATCACAATACTTTATTCTTTATAAAAATAGTCCCGCAAAACCAATTCCATCATATCGTCAATACATTCCAACATATAATCCCGGAAATTTACATCAATTTTCACCAGCTCCAATACCTCATCCGTTCGATCAACATTTGTATAACGATGGAAGTCATCGGGACGATTTAATTTCATGTCACGCAAATAATCTCCTGGAACTCTCAATATCGTTGCCGCTATGCAATTATATAGAGCACCAAATAAGGCCAAATCCTTGAGAGAGTTTTCAAATTCTCCGTAGGTCATAAAATCCTCGGCATTCAGGGACATTCGAGATAACTCCTCCTTAAATTGTTGATAATATATTTCATGACATTCCTTCTCAATTTGTTTACGATCCGATGGTTTAATGCTCATATACAGCGTCATAAGTACATCAATGGCAGCTGGGGAATAACGACACAACTGGAAGTCGACAAATGCTGCACCCTTCGAATAGGGTTCATCCTTGGCAAAGAACACATTACCACCCCAGACATCACGATGACAGAAGACATTGTTATATTTGGTCGAAGGATTCACCATGTCATAGACGGTGTCCAATATTGAGGGCAAACGCGATTTAATGAACTCCTGCAGTGGCTCCGATTGGTAGTTTGGATGTTTGAGGGCCACAGCCAATACGGCCTGAAATAGAAAGGAGATTTTTAAGAATTCTCAAATGGAGTTTTGGTAGTTCACCCACCTTAATACCCGCCGTATACCACACAACCTTGGGATTAACGGTAACCTCATACAGCACATCCTTGAGCTGATCGCCAATTTTGATTTGATTCTTTTTCTCATAACCCACACTACAGGCATGCATGCTGGCCAGGCCTTTGAGTATGGAGCAAATTTGTGGTTTATTTAGAAATACGGAGGAATCCTTCATGGGCTTATAGCCCAAGTCCAAGATGTTTTGCATCACAAAGAGATCCGGTTTGACTAGATAACACTGGGCACACCAAATGTTGGGAGCTGTATGAAATCGGATATTATTTTTTTTGGAATAATTGAATCATGTTTGATATTGACTTACTCAGTTTCTTAAGTTCATTTAGTAATTTCTGATATAATGTAGCCTCCTTCGTTAGCATGCCGGAACGTTCAATGAAATCCGACATATCGGGATTTTGATAGGGTTTCGTCTTAACAAACAGCCTTATATGACTTAGTTCATTTTCCTGGAATAAAAATGGAAATATAATTGATTTGGAAAATATTTTTAGGGGAGTTTTCAAATTATTTTTTTCTGGGCTAGAACTATGAAAAGTCCATAATTTCAGATAGCAGAGCAAAACATGTTCAAATATTATTTTAGGATGGAAAGCCAACGTCTTTGAGAAAATCTTTTTATAAAAGACCAGCAAGTAAGTGCCCACTGCTTCGTCAGCGAAAAGTTCTCCTTACAAATTTTAGAACTTAATACATCGTACTAAATTTTCAGACTTTCAAGATTTTCCTTTTTTGGAAAAGATAATATTAAAATGTTTACCTTTTGCACCAAGAAGTCTTCATTTTAAATTTTGCCGAGGAGGATATAAGTAAAAATATAGCACAATGGACCCACATCCAATTTTTCTGTTCAAAACTATTTCAACGTATACATCTGTAAACCTTAGAAACCAATAGTGACCTCAGTATTACATTTCAGCTATATCCCTTCACCCAATACCAAATTCAGTAACATTTAGTACACATATCCAAAACGATCTGCATCTCTCCGTTCTAGACACCAACAGTGATCAAAAATTTTTGCAATTTTGTACTTTTCGAAAAATTATGGTACACATTCGCAAAACCACCACCAGATACCAACAGAGACCTCAATATCAAATTTCCGGATTCCAGCCCTATCCCTTCACCCAATACCAAATTTAGAACCATTTAGTACTTTTGGTACAATTGTAGTACAATATTCCAAACAACCTCCTTTTATTAATTCCAGACATCAACAGAGACCTCAATATCACTTCTGAATTTAGACCTTTTACCAAAATTAGTACCATTTTATATAATTATAGTGCGCATATTCAAAACCAACTCCTTCTCTCAACCACAGACATCAACAGTGACATTCATAGAAAATTTAAGGATTCCAGCCCTATCTCTTCACCCAAGACCAAATTTAGTACTATTCAGTACTTTTGGTACAATTGTGGTACACATTTCCTAAACAACCGCCACATCTCAATTCCAGATACCAACAGAGAACTCAATATCAAATTTCGGGATTCCCTTCATCCAATACCAAATTTAGTACCATTTAGTCCTTTTGTACAATTGTACTACAAGTTTCCAAAAAAACTCCTTATATCAATTTCAGACATCAACAGAGACCTCAATATAAAACTTGAGGTTACCTCCCCTTTACCCAATTTGGTACCATTGAGTACTTTTCGTACAAATATAATACACATTTTCAAAACAATCTCTATGTATCTCAAGCTCAGATATCAACGGTGAACTCATATCAAATTTCAGGATTTTAGCTCTATTCCTTCACCCAATACCCAATTCAGTTCCATATAGTACTTTTCGTACAAATATAGGTCGTATTTCCAAACCACTACCAAATCTCAAACAGGGATACCAACAGTGGCATCCCATATTAAATTTCAGAATTTGAGCTCTATCCTTTACCCAATACCAAATTTAGTACTATTTAGTCCTTTTGTACAATTGTACTACAAGTTTCCAAAAATTTCAGACATCAACAGAGACCTCAATATGAAACTTGAGGTTACCTCCCCTATCCCTTTACCCAATACCCAATTTGGTACCATTTAGTACTTTTAGTACAAATTTAAAAACAATCTCTATATCTCAACCTCAGATATCAACGGTATATCAAATTTCAGGATTTCAGCTCTATCCCTTCACCCAATACCCAACTTAGTTACATTTAGTACTTTTCGTACATATTTAGGGCGTATATCCAAACCACTAACAATTCTCAGACTCATGTACCAAGAGTAGCATCCCATATCAAGTTTTGGAATTTCAACTCTATCCCTTCACCATATACCAAATTAAGTACTATTTATATTTTCAAAACCACGTCCATATCTCAATTCCAGATACCAAACGAGAACTCAAAGTCAAATTTGAGGTTTCCAGCTCTATTTCTTTAATCAATGCAAATTTAGTACCACTTAGTACTTTTCGTACAAATATAGCACATACTCTCCAAACAATCTCTATATAGCAACCTCAGATACAAACAGTGACCTCAATATCAAATTTGAGGATTTCAGCTACATCCCTTCAGTCAACACCCAGTTCAGTACCATTTAGAACTTTTCGTACAATTATAGTACACATTTTTCGTGATTCCAGCCTTATCCCTTCACCCAATACCTCAATATCCAGCGCTATCCCTTCACCCAATACCAAAATTTGGTACCATTTAGTACTTTTCGTAAAAACGTCCAAAACTATCTCCAAATCTTAAAATTGGATACCAACAGTCTTTTAAATATAAAAATTCCGAATTTAAGTTATATCCCTTCAATCAGGCTACACATGAAGAGCGACCAATACCATTACCAATTTTCAGATTTCAAGTACTGTTCTGTTCATCCAATACCAATTTGTACCAAATATAGTATTATTTAGTACTTTTCGTGCACTCGTACATATTTCCAAAACCGCAAACCTACTATCAAGATGGATCCCAATTCAAAATGTCAGCTTCATCCGCTCACCCTAAACCAAAATTTTTTAAATTTAGAATCATTTAGTACGGTTTTGGAAAGCGAGCGCTTCACCGGGAATGGGCCAAAATATCGCTGAGCAACATTCGGGCAGACGTGTGACGGTTTCATAGGCCGTTTGAAGGCCATAATTCGTGCCAAAGGTGACCAATTCGAACAAATCTAAACTTATTCTAAAATTTGATGCTATTTCCGACATGTAAAAATTATGGCATTTGACTTTGTTGTAGTTTTTTTTTTATCTCACTCTGTATATGGTACCTCACGCACATTTTAACATTTTCCAAAAATTATCGCATATCTCCTAAAGTAGCTAATATAGTCCAAACCTGGCACGTCGCAATATTTATATTATATTTATTTAGCTCCGATATGAAATGGACAATTTTGGCCCATTCTTCGGGACCTCCTCCATACAACAATTTGAATAACCATAACAGAAATCAAAATATATTACAATAAATCTGTCGGCAAAATCGACTGATACTTTTTTACAAAATCTCAGCATTAAGTTTTCGTCTGGGCGTTTATTCTCGATCAGTCATTCAGTTATTTTACTCCTCTTTTATATATATAGAGGAAAAAAAGACTAGGGCTACAGTATTGGCATGTGGGTAGCTGTTGGTGTGTAGGTGGGAGATAAGACAGGGTTTTAAGAAACTTGTGCTAAACGCTACTAAAAACTTTGTTTTTGAACTAAAGTCGTAAAGAGGTAGATTTTTTTAATTTGTCAGACTGTTCATTATTCAAAAGAATAAAATAAAATTTCTTATTAAGATCATGATCGGCACAATGGTCCAGAGGTCTTCAAGTATAACATAACAACATAAACCCATTTTCCAATTTTTCTTTTTTAACAAATTCGTATAAATTCACCCCTTTTTTGAAATCACTATAAATCTAACATCATAAATCTTCCATAGAAATCTAATCTTCACTCATTTAGGAAATCGTTTATCATGGGCTACCGAGTGAGGGCGTTGTTTTTTTCCTTCTTACCTCCGCCTTTTGATATCTCAAATGTAAATGGAAATATTCGCCCAAATATCCAATTGTACTCAGCTCTGGAACAATTTCACATTCCTTCAGTTGACCACCAGCAATTCCCTGTTCTTTTAATATCTTCTCCAGAATTTCTTCACATTCTTCGCGGGTTACTAAATCATGGCGATTATGTCGTTCGATTAAATCTTTATTATTTTGTTTATCATTCATTATGATTTGAATTGAATTGAAAAATGTCCAAAACAAGCTTTATTTCAATAACAACAACAACAAAACACACGTGATAGCGGCAATTATGGAACGAGCCGCACAGCGTTCTACTCGGTTTGAATTTTAAAATACAACTGAGCGTCGAACCAGTGGTGCTCTGGAGAGATACTTGAAGAGTGTTATTTGAGACGTGTACAGCGGAATGGTGAGCGTATTAAGTGAGTCATTAGGTTTGTAACAACTCGCAGAAAGTATTATCTGAATTTATAAAAAAGAAAAGTGATTAAGTGACTTAATGATTCATCAACGCACAGATGAAACTTCTAAAGCTAGAATCTTGGGTGAGGGTCACCCTTGGTCCAAAGGTGTCAGATAAGGCTGGGTTTTTTGAAAAATCGTATTAGAATGATACGAAAGTATTAAAAGGTACTAAATATATTACTCTTTGTATTTGACTAACCAGTAGAGCTGGAACTCTTAAATTTGGAATAAGGGTCACAGATGGAGTGTATGATAGATGTACCAAAGGGAAGTTAGTATCATGTAAAGGTTAGAGCGTAAAATTTAAAATTTGGAATTAAAATCAAAGTTGAGGATTAGGGTCGATATAAGGAGATAGTTTTTTGGAAGTATGTTCTCATGTATAAGAAGAGTACTTAACGGTACTATATTTGGTACAATGTGAATTTAGAGGAATGGATGGAGCGTGAATCCTGAACTTTCTAATTAACTTTACTGACTGAGTGTATAATTGGGATATGAAGGAATATTTCGAAACTTATACTTTATGTTATAAACTTATGTGCACAAAAGGTACTAAATGGTACTAAATTTTGTACAATTTCGATTTGGGTGAACCGATACAGGTGGAATACTGAAATTTGGATATCAGAATATTGTTGCATTATTGAATTGGGGTATGTGGGAAGTTTTGGAAATTCGTATTTATGTGTACAAAATGGTACTAAATTTGGTACGATTTAAATTTTGGGAGAAGCGATAGAGTTGGAATGCTGATGTTTGAAAACAAGATTACTATTGCATTGTTGGATTGGGGTATGTAGGAAGTTTTGGGAATCAGTACTTATGTGTACTAAATGGTACTAAATTTGGTACAATTTAAATTTTTGGGAGAAATGATAGAGTTGGAGTTTTGAAATTTAGAAACAAGATTACTATTGTATTGTTGGATTGGGGAAAATAGGAAGTTGTGGAAACTTGTACTTATGTGTACTAAATGGTACTTTATTTGGATATGTGCGAAATGCGATGGGTGTGGAATCCTGAAATTGGGAATTAAAATTTTATTGGATTGTATGATTCAGGTTGTTATGAAAATTTGTACTTATGATACTAATTTTATACTAAATGATACTTAATTTGGTACAAATTGGAGGTGTGGTGAACCGATAGAGCGGGAATTCTGAAATTTGGAAACAAGATTTCTATGAGAAAGTATGATTGAGGTATTGAGGTAGTTTTGAAAATTTGAAATGAGAGTCACTGATGGAATGTAGGATAGCAGTACCAAAGATTTTTTTTTGGAAATTGTAACTTTAAGGTTACGAAAAGTTCTAAAATATTATTAAACTTCTAAAATGGTACCATTTGGTATCATGTGTGCGGATAGAGTTAACAATTCGAAATTTGGTATGAGAATCAAGGTGAGAAAGTAAATTTTGATAAATGAAGTTGGTTTTGGAAATGTGTACTAAATGTGCGAACTGTACTAAATTGTACAAAATTTGGAACAGTTTGTTTTAGGGTGAACGGATAAAGCTAACATTTTTTATTGGGGTGCCTGTTGGTAGGTAGTCTCGTAAATGTATACTTAAGTTGTACGAAAAGTACAAAATAGTACTCTATTTGGAACAATTTGGTATTGAGTGAACAGATAGTGCTTGGAAATCTGGAATTTGATATTGTTGATGTGTAGCCTGGATATATGGAGGTGGTTTCGGAAATGTGTATAGTAAGTGGACGAAAAGTTCTGAATTGTACTCTATTTGGTATTGGGTGAAGAGATAGAGATAACATTCTGAAATCTGATATTTCGATTACTGATAGTATCTATGTTTGAGATTTCTACGAAAAGTACTAAATGGTACTAAATTTGGTATTGCGTGAAGGTATAGGTCTGAAATCCTAGAAATATATGTTGAGGTCTCTATTGGTGTCTGCGGTTAAGATATGGATGTGGTTTTGGAAATGTACTAAATGGTCTAAATTGGGTGAAATTATGGAAATTTGATGTTGAGTATGTACTCTGTTGGTATCTGGGATTGAGATATGGAGGTGGTTATGGAAATGTGTTCTATAATTGTAGGAACGGTACCAAATTTTGTTGAAGGAATAGAGATAACATTCTGAAATTTGATGTTGAGGTCTTAATTGTTTTCTTGGATTGGTGGTTTTGCTAATGCTTACTCTGAATGTTCGAAATGTGCAGGCTGAAGTAAATTTGGTACTGGATGAATGGATGGAGGTGAAACCGTGAAATTTTATCTTGCGATAACTGTTGGTATGCGACTTTAACTAAAATAAACAAACTTAGACCCAAGCATTTGTTATTTGGAATTTATGAAATACAGGCAAATTAAAAAACAAGTAAAAAAGCTGCTAAGTTCGGCTGGGCCGAACTTTTTATACCATCCACCATTGGGAAGGAACTTGAAAATTAAAAAAATCCACCGAAAAATACCTTTTAAATGAAATCCGTTATATGTGGGCTATATAAAGACGTGGACCTGCGTAGAAAAATTTCCGTAAAAGTTTGAAGTGTCCACTACGAACTTCAAATACGAAATTTAAAAAAATTAAAATACCGAATGTCAGGATGGAGAGTACAGACAATTCCATTGATAAACTTGGCGATAATTATCAAATGCGTAATAAGGAGAGGTTCCGTTATATGAGGTCTATGAGAAGACATGGACCTGCATGAGCAATATTCAGTCATAGATGGTAGTACCTATTAGGAACTTCATATTCAAAATGTGAAACAATTCCGATTAATAAGGTCGATGATATTAATACAACGAAAATACCGAATATTGAGAGGAATCGTTATATGGGCGCATATAAAATCTTCCGTCATAGCTTAAAGTACCCACTGCAAACTTCAAATAAGAAATTAAAAAAAAAATCCGGTAAAAACTATCGCTAAAATCATCAAAATACCGAATATCGGGGGTACCGTTGTATGGGTGGTATGCGATATCGTGGACCTATATAGACAATTCTATTTCATGGGAAAAAGCACTCAGAAGAAACTCTTTGTGGGGATTTTCAGACAATTCAAAAAAAAAAAAAAAAAATAAATAAATAAATAAATAAAATAAAAAATTGGATACAATCATCAAAATACCGAATATGGGGAGGTATCGTTATATAAGGTAAATACGATATCGTGGACCTATGTAGACAGATCTCTTCCAGGAGGTAAATTACTTTCAAAGAATTCCTTGTGTAGAAGTTCTGATAATTCCATTTAAAAATACCGAATATCGGGCGGTTCCGTTCTATGGGGCTATATGATATTCTGCACCGATATAGACCATCTTCGAACTTGACCTGCCTGCAGACAAAAGGCAAATCTGTGCAAATTTTTAGATTCCTATCTTAAATCATTTTGACCCTAGCGTGATTACAACAGACGGATAGACGGTAGGCAGGACAGGGCTAAATCGACTGATATACTTTTTTATACCCTCCACCATACTATGGAGGGTATATTAATTTTGTCATTCCGTTTGTAACTCCTCGAAATACTCATGTCAGACCCAACAAAGTATATATATTCTTGATCAGCGTAAAATTCTAAGACGATTTAGCCATGTCCGTCTGTCTGTCTGTGTGTCTGTCTGTCTGTCTGTCTGTCTGTCCGTCTGTCTGTCTGTCTGTTGTAATCACGCTATCTTTCGAACAAATTGAGATAGAAGGCTAAAATTTTGCACACATGTATATTTTGCCAGTAGGCAGGTTAAGTTCGTAAATGGGCCATGTAGGTCCAAGTTATCATATAGCCCCCATATAACTGTACCTCCCGATATTCAGTATTTTTATGATTTTAGCGACATTATTCGCCGGAATTGTTTCAAATTTGGCATTTGAAGTTCGTATTGAATACTACAGCCTAAAACAGAAAATTATCTGTGTAGGTCCATGTCTTCGTGTAGCCCCCATATAACGGTACCCCCCGATATTCGGTATTTTTATGATTTTTGCGACATTGTTTACCGGAATCGTTTCAAATTTGGTATTTGAACTTCGTAATGGATACTACATCCTAAGTCAAAAAATGAGCCATGTAGGTCCACTTCTTCATATAGCCCCCATATAACGGTACCCCCCGATATTCGGTATTTTGATGATTTTAGCGAAATTATTCAGGGAAATCGTTCCAAATTTGGTGTTTGAAGTTCGTAATAGATACTGCAGCATAAAACAGAAAATGGGCCATATAGGTCCACGTCTTCATATAGCCCCCATATACTATACCCCCCGATATTCGGTATTTTGATGATTTTAGCGACATTATTTACCGAGATTGTTTCAAATTTCGCATGTGAATTTCGGAATGGATACTTCAGCCCATGCCAGAAAAATGTCTGTGCAGGTCCATGTCTTCGTATAGCCCCCATAAAACGGTACCCCCCATATTCGGTATTTTAATGATATTAGCTTGATTATAAACAGATTTTTCTTCAAGTTTCGCATTTAAATAGTGTAATAACTTATGACAAAAGTTGCCTATGCTGGCCCACGTCGTCGTATAAGCATTCGGTATTCTTAAGATTTTAACAGAATTTTTAACGGATTTTATTTATTAGAAAATGCCAAATTTGTACCAAATGGTGGAGGGTATTAAAAGTTCGGCCCGGCCGAACTTACAGCTTTTTTACTTGTTAAGAATGTAGTAGACTGAAGATAACTTTTTTTCTATATACGAGAGAATTTATAATTATATTGCAATTAAAAAAATTAAACTTTATAAAATGAAATTTTGTACTTAAATTTCATTACAATTTCGTTTTTTACCTACATATGTTTAAGGTAGTGCCTTTTCAATTCGTCTGAAAGGTTTACCGGGCATTAAGCTCTTATTTTCGTTGGCGCTTAATCTATGCACGATTAGATAGGCCAGTAGGCAACATAAAATATACAAGAAACAAATTTCGGCACTACCATGTTTGTTATATTTTTCTCTGGCCAATTTGTTAGAAGATAATCTCTACTGATAGCCGTATTTTGTTTACTACACGCGGAGTAAAATTATATGTGGCACTTGTCTTCGGGGCTGTGGTGAGAGATTGTAAACAATCTTCCATTTACGAGATCTTATCTACGCTCAGTCTATCAAACTTGTTGTACAATTGCGGAGAGAGCGAGAGATATGATAGGAGAGTGTGTTTAAACAATTAATAATATTTAATTTGTTGTTCAGTTGACAGTGTGCTTTAGGAATTATAAAAACAAATGACAATGTTTGCAATTGATATTCTAAAGATGTTATAAACCGCTGAGATTATAGCTAGACAATATATCCATAACAGATTTTATTTTTGACAATGAGTTGATGGTCCAGAACCATGCACGTTTTATGCATTTCAACACAATGGAATGGGATGACACATAATCGCTATATGGATGGTATTTAGTGAGAGGAGCATGTATAGGGCTTGAATTTTAAATAACAAATTATATCTACATATTTGTGAAAAATGTATTTTTCAAAATCCCGATTATAAGGCAATAATTAAAAATCATATAAGACCTATTCCTTAAGCGCAGCCTATAATGGATTTCTAAGAGAGAGCTCTCGAAAGTCTAAATTTTGTTGGAAAATATTTTTAATTGTAATTTTTTTTTTTGAAAATCTAGTTGAAAACCCCAGAATAATGAAATATAATGTGTACCTAAATAGGCTTATGAAATTTATGCCTAATCGAAATTAAGACTTTAGACCCCATTTTTTCGACTGGTGCGCACCATTATTGTTCTCGAATTCAGTATACGATTTGCTACAAACATGGAATGTCCGACAATCGTAATAATTATCAAACTTCGAAAAAGAAAGAAAGCGAAGATGGACAATGTCGGACCACTTCTTTTGTTACACCTCAAAAGTGGTTAAACTTAAAAAAAAATATATGTTAAAAAGTATCCGTCGGCTTAGCCGAAAGAAGGCTACCCTCAGCCAATATTCGATTATTTAAATATATTTTGACTTCTGTTATAATTATTGAAATTCTTGACTCTCTATGGAGTAGGTTCCGAAGTAATGGGACAATATTGTACATTTCGTATCGCACCTAAATAAATGTGATATAAATATTGCAACGAGCCAGGTTTGGACTATATAAGTAAATTTTGTCACAATTTTGACCCTTTGTGGGGGAGGTACCGGAAGGAGTGGACCGATATATTCCATCTTTACACCAGACCTTGGGTTAAAAAAAAAATATAAAATGTGATGTGTGTAATTTTAAATTAAATGGATGCCTTTTTGGAATTTTGCGATCGTTTTTGTTATTCAAACCTTTGTGGGGGAGAAACCAAAAGGAATGGCTGAATCTATACCATATTTATAACAGATCTTGTATTAATGAAAATATTGAAACATGCCAAGTCTAATTGGAATTGGATGTTAATTTTTCGTTTATGAATTTCAAGGACATTCAAAATTTTTACCCTTTGTGGTGGATGTACCAGAAGGAGTGGACCGATATTACGCATCTTCACATCGGACCCTTGCTTAATAAAAATATTGTGATGTGTGTAATTTGACGACAATCGGACACTTATATCACATATTATAAGATTTCTGATTATTCAAAATTTTGATCTTTTGTGGGGTAGGTATTAGATGGAGTGAACCGATATTGTCCATTTTCGCACCTGACCTAGCACCGATGCAAATATTAGGATTAGCAAACTTGGAGCAAAATCGGATTATCCTTTCTCTTTCTGAGCAGTAATTTTTTTTTTTTTTTGAAAAATTCGATCTTTTGTGGGGAAGGTTTCAGAAGGATTGAACCGACATTGTCCGTCTTCGAACTCGGTTTAAATTTCATAATAATCTTACGATGTACCAAGTTTGGACAATATCGAATACTCCCTTCGAGACTTATCGTTCACACCAGCCGGCAGAGTGATGGGAGTACAAGATATTTTACTACTTATCACCAGACTTTAGAATGGTAAAATTATTTTTTAGTTCCGACCTTGCTTTCCAAAATACTCCAGACACAATAGTCCAACGGATTGGTATTTGGTGGACATTGTGCGCTGGAAATGAAGCGAGGAACCTCATTTTTTAACCATTCTTGGGTGGCACGTGTTGAGTCCTGTTGGAATGTTCAAGGTCAGCGGCCCAAGGCTTTAATGCACCCTCCAGAATATTTTCGCAATAATATTCGGCATTTATTAAGATGCCACGGTAGATTAATATGAGCGCAGAGTGACCATCGGCTGTTATGGCGGTCCACACCATCACCATGGGCGGCGCTTGAGTTCTGGTGGCCAACCGAAGATACACATTTTCAGCTGAACTCTTTGGCAAGTAACCGACGATCATTTTGCTGGACAAGGATTTTTTTTTTCTCATCGGAGAAAACCAAATACGGCAGTTCACCACTTTCTGCCAAGCTAAGCAACTCTTTAGCTCTTTTGAGTCTATTTTTATCTGTTGTTAGTACCATTTAGTACACATAAGTATGAATTTCCAAAACTGCCTATATACCTCAGTCCTACAATGCAATAGAAATTTTATTTCTAAATTTTAGGATTCTAACTCGATTGGTTCTCCCAAATTTCATAATTGTGTTGAATTTAATACCATTTAGTACAAATAAGTACGAATTCCCAAAACTATCTACATTCCTCAATCCAAGAATGCAATAGTAATCGTATTTCAGAATTCATAATTTCAAGTTTCAGCTCTATCGCACCCTAATCGAAATTGTACCAAATTTAGTAGCATTTGGTACTTTTCGTGCACATATGTACATATTTCGAAAACTTTCTCCATATCTCAATCCTTCTACTCCGCCAATAATGTTATTTTCAAAATTCAGGATTCCAGCTCCATTCGTTTCTCCAAATTTAAATTGTACTAAATTTAGTACCTTTTAGTACTTTTCATATACATGCGTACACACTTCAAAAACTACCTCCTTACATCAACTCTTCTCCTCAACCTTAATTCCCACTCCGAATTTTAAGTTTTTAGCTCTAAGCGTTCACATACAATACGAAAAAATACCAAATATAGTACATTTTAGTACTTTTCGTACACTTATAGGGCGAATTTCCAAAAACCCTTTTGTACATCCATCATACACTCTATCAATGACCCTCATTCCAAAAATTTAAGAGTTTTAGCTCTACTGCTTCGTCAAATACCAAGTACCGAGTTCCGATTACCCAGCCAGAGGTCACTCTTGGTCCGAAGGGGTCAAGACCCTCACACTAAAATTTAAGAGTTCTAGCTCTACTGCTTCGTCAAATACCAAGTACCGAGCTCCAAAAACCCAGCCAGAGGTCACTCTTGGTCCGAAGGGGTCAAGACCCTCACCCAAAATTTCAAGATTTTAGCTTCAGCCGTTTCGTCTGGGCGTTGATGAATCGTTAAGTCAGCCAGTCAATTACTTTACTTTTTTATTAACATCGATTTTATTTCATTCATTCAGATTAATTTATTTTGGCTTAAAATTAAAATATTCCATGATCTCCTGCAATGGATATTGTATCTTTCCCATATAGGTGGGATCCATCTGAGAGACCCTCTCAAACATTGCAATTCGCTCACTATTCATATAGGCATCAAATGTCTTGGGTTCGGTGGCACGCATGTGGGCGGCCCATCCTGGGGGTAAATTAAATAATGGCACACAAATTGATCGCAGAGTTAAGACAGCCAGCAGAGCTTTGCGGCAATCTTCTTCAAATTCTTGTTGCGGTATCAGGTCTTCACTTAAATTCAAACGTTTCAATTCTTCTCTCAAAGTTTTGTGATAATATTTCAATAGGTCTGGCACCTCTTTATCTCTGCGTTGAGGATTTTCAAAATTATTATAGAGAAAATTGAGGACATCTATTGCCGGAGGACTGTAACGGGTCAGCTGGAAATCGACAATGCGACACTCTAGAGGTTCTTTGTCGAGTTTGTCATATTTCCAAAATATGTTGCTGTTCCACGAGTCACGATGACACAAGACATTGCGTAGAGTTTTCGAGGATTTGGATAACTCCTCCATATCCAGAAATACTTGGTAAAGTTTTTGATTGATGAATTCCTGGGCCTCGGGGTACTGATATTTGGGATGAGTTTGGGCTATGTACAAGGCGGCCTGTGAGGGAATCACAAATTTAAATATTAAACAAAATTTTCTTTTGTTGTTAAAAATTAACACACCTGAATGCCCGTTATGTACCACTCATTTGCCGCAGTTAGCTGCAATTCGATGAGCACATCCTTGAACTGTTCACCAATATTCAGTGACGCTTCGGCTTCCCAGGCAAGGCTGGCGGCATGAAATCTGGCCAGCAGTTGTAAACACAATTGCAAATGTTTCGTTGTGTAAACGTCATTTTTCGATAACTGCTTGAAACCCTTTTCGGGTATGGAAAAATCTTCCAAAACTAAAATATCCGATCGCACCAGATATGATTTGGGAAATAAATCTGCCGGGGCAAAACGTTGAATATTTGGTAAAATATTGGCATAAATGCTGGATTCTTTGCGAAAGAACCCTTTGCGTTCGCATTCATCGCGATAGACTTCATTGGTGACGGGGACGGATTTAACAAAAAAATTCAGATGTCTCTCGGTATCAGAATTCTATGGACGAAAAAAAAATTAAATATTTTAATTTTCAAAATTACAAAAAAAAAAAAAAAAAAAAAAATCAACAAATCAAAACTTACCCCCTCTTTAATATCTATTTCCAATTTATAATATTCACCCATAAATCCCACCAAATCGCTGGAGGATTTCACAACTCTGTGCGACAACAATTCAAATGCATTGTCACTGGACAAATTTAAACAATTCTTGACAATTGTTAAACAATCGCTTTTGTTTAAAATTTCCACTGGTAGCCCTGCAATGCTTTCTTCCGCGATCACGCTCCAAACGCTACTAAATCAGAACGCTTCATTTGCTCCACAGAGCAATAACTGGCATTCCGTTCAATTTACATAATTTTGTTTTAGTTTATTTTTTTTTTTTGAAAATATAAATTAAGTTTTGTTCTCTTATCCAGAAATTTGTTTAAATTTGAGAGAATGAGAGAGCCACACACACACTAGCCATTAAGATAACAATAAATGTCAATTAGTTGTAGATTATCATAACTTGTTGAGATGGGCACAGTGGGCATAAAAATGAAAACAAATAACAAGTAAAAAGCAGTAAGTTCGGCCGGGCAATGAATACCCTCCACCATTTGGAACGAATTAGAACATTTTCAAAAAATAAAATTCTGTTTACATTTTAAAAATACCGAATATAGCCGTTTTATTGGGGTCTATACGACGTGGACCTACAAAGGCATTGTTTGTCACAAGCCATTACCATATTCAATTCACATCATCAAAATATCGTATATAGGGAGGTACCGTTATATGGGAGCTGCGTGAAGACCTGGACCAGCCAGACAATTTTCTGTCAGAGGCTGTAGCATTCATTACGAAGTTTAAATACGATATCTGATATATGGGGGCTATACGAAGACGTGGACGTGCATAGTTATTTTTCTGTCTTAGGGTGTACTATCCCTTTGGAACTTAAATATCAAATTTGAAAAAATTCCGGTGAATAAAGTCGCTAAAATCATCAAAATACCGAATATCGGGAGATACCTTTATATGGGGGCTATATGAAAACGTGGACCAACATGGCCCATTTACCATTAGCCTTCGATCTCATTTCGTTCAAAAGATAGCGTGATTACAACAGACAGACAGACGGACATCGCTAAATCGACTTAGAATTTTACGCTGATCAAGAATATGTACACTTTGTTGGGTCTGGCATGAGTATTTCGAGGAGTTACAAACGGAAAGACCCTCCATAGTATGGTGGAGGGTATAAAAATAGTTAATATGGAATAATACATTGTGTAGTCGGTGTGACAAAAATCAAATTTCTCAAAAATCACAGCAAAACCGGAAACAAATATGGAGGTATAGGTAAAAATATGGGACGGGAGTATCGGTGTTTAAAAATTTCACATCGGGTATCAGCGGCCCATTTTTAGATATACAGGCTGAGATAAATAAACTGCAACAAAGTCAAATGCCATAATTTTTCAAATTTTTTTCAATTTTATTGAATGTAAAATATCGGAAATAACATCAAATTTTAAAATAAGTTTAGATTTGTTCGAATTGGTCACCTTTGGCACGAATTATGGCCTTCAAACGGCCAATGAAACCGTCACACGCTGGCCGAATGTTGCTCTGCGGTATGTTTCCCATTCCCGGCGAAGCGTTTGCTTGAGGTGATCGACACTTTGGTATTTTTAGTGTCAACCTTGCTTTCCAAAATACTCCAGACACAATAGTCCAACGGATTGTTATCCGGAGATATTGGTGGCCATTGGGCGCTGGAAATGAAGCGAGAAGCCTCATTTTGTAACCATTCTTGGATGGCGCGTGCTGATTGCGATGGTGCTGAGTCCTGTAGGAAGGTCCAAGGTCTGCGGCGAAAATGTTTGCGTGCCCAAGGCTTTAATACACCCTCCAGAATATTTTCGCGATAATATTCGGCATTTATTCTGATGCCACGGTCGATTAATACGAGCGGAGAACGGCCATTAACTGTTATGGCGGCCCACAACATCGCCATGGCCGGCGCTTGAGTTCTGGTGGCCAACCGAAGGTGCACATCATCATTTCAGCTGACGTCTTTGGCAAGTAAACACGATCATTTGTTTGTTTGTTTGTTTACAAACTGCTGGACAACGAATGTTTTTTCATCGGTGAAAACCAAATTCGGCAGTGTACTACTTTCGGCCAAGCGAAACATTTCTTTAGCTCTTATGAGTCTATTTTGAGTTCCGAAGCAGTTGGCCAATATTGACCAATTCGTATGTGACCTATATCGGCTACACCCTTTACTTTATATGAAAGATGTGAAAATTTATGGAAAATATTGAAATATGCCTGAGATTCCAGATATAGTGGATAGAAAGGTTCCACTTCATCGCATACGGATGTGCAAGTTATGAGAGATTCATTATAAGAGTATTAATAAAAAGTTTGACCCTTCTTGGTGGAGGTAGCAGAAGGGGTGTGCCGATATCTATCATCTTCATGTTAGTAAAAATATGTTAAAAAAACAACGTTTATTTATTTGTTATTCAAAATCTTAATCCGTTTATAGGGGCGACGGCCGAAGGAGCGGTCCGATTTATACCATCCTCACACCAGATCTCGTATTAATAAAAATATTGGAATAAGTAAAATTTGAAGAGAATCTGATGCTTATTTCGCTTTTTAAAAGCTTCATGGTTATTCAAAATGTTGACCCTTTGTGGGAGAGGTACCGCAAGGAGTCGACCCGAATATCGGGAGATACATCTACACACCAGTTATTGTATTGCTAGAAATATTGAAAATTTGAAGGGAATGTGAGGCCTACTTCATGTTTAATGAACGTTTTGTTAATAAAAAAAATTAACATTTTGTTGGGGAGGTATAAGTTAAATTTGAAGAGAATTGGGTGGTTACTTCGCAATTTACAAGCTTCATGGATATATAAAATTTGGATTCTTTGTGTGGGATGTACCGGAAAGAGTGGATCAATAGATCCCATCTTCACTCCAGATATTGTATTGATGGAAACATTGGAATGTGCCGAGTTTGAAAGGAATCGAATGATAATTTCGCTTTTTATGAGCTTCATTGTGATTCAAAATTTTGACCCGTTGTGGGAGAGCTACCAGAGGATGTAGTCCATATTCCTACAAGATTTTCTGTTGGTAGAAATATTGGCACGTGCCAACTTTGAAGAATATCGGATACTTATTTCATATTATAAAAGTTTTATAACTATTCAAAATGTTGACCCTTCGTGTGGGAGATATTTGATGGAGTGCGCCAATATTGCCCATTTCTGCACCTAATTTAGGGCTGATGAAAACATTAGGATTTGCCAAGATGTTCTATTAGGTAAATTATTTTCTGTGAAGATGTTTACCTTTTTGACAAAAATATTACTATGTACCAAGTTTGGACAAATCGGATACTCCCTTGGAGAGTTATCGTGAACACCAGCCAGCCAGACCGACAGACGGACGTACGGACATCGCTAGATCTACTCCAAATGTCTTAAAACGGATTTGGTTCAAGGAGACATAGGTTCTAAAACTGTAACTTCGATGAGGCACGTTTTGACCGTATCATAAGATATATACCCCCTCTTGCCATATGGCTGAGGGTATATCTAGCCTTATGGCTGAAGGTATAAAAATAATAGTTCATGAAACGCATGAGTTTCTAGTTCGGCAATGAGACCCTGTTGTCTGTTAACATGGAAATTGAAATGGAGCTGGAAATAACTGGATTAAACATTTTGTGCACTTTTCATAACAATACCATTATAGGTTAGCCATCCGCTTAAATCACATATTAAGAGCCGTTAAAAATTAATTTTAAGTTGGTCAGCTCTGACATATTCGTAAACAAATCTACTCTGGGAAAATAAATATTCCACTATACACGAATATCCAATTTTAAAAGCTTTTAGTCAGTCTGAAATTATTAAAAAAAAAAAAAAAATTATTAAATACCATTATAGGTTAGCCATCCGCTTAAATCACATATTAAGAGCCGTTAAAAATTAATTTTAAGTTGGTCAGCTCTGACATATTCGTAAACAAATCTACTCTGGGAAAATAAATATTCCACTATACACGAATATCCAATTTTAAAAGCTTTTAGTCAGTCTGAAATTATTAAAAATCCAATTTAAAGCCATAAAAAAGTTTATAAAAGATCCACACTTGAGAAATGTTGCTCAGCTCTGAGAAAAAATCCGTGTAAAATGGCTATTTCATTTAAGTTCTTTTATAGCTTTAAGCTCTCAAACAGATTTGGACAACATTCTTTAAAAGTCCATGTTTTAGAGCTGTTGGTCAGGCCTGGAAAAAAGTTTTACTTATTCCCGTTTAAAGTCATTTTGTGAGCTCTGAAAAATATCATCAACAATTCACGTGCTGCAGCAATTGGTTGGCTACGAAAATATTCACAAAGGATCCAAGTTTAGGAGCTGTTGATCAGTTCTAAAAAATATTAAAAAAAATTCAACGATTGTTGACTTCTAAAAATTTAATAAAATATTTGACTGAATGATTCCCCTTTGAGTGTTTGGAAAACTCATTAAAAATCCACGCTTCAGAATCTACACAAGGGGATTCCTGGTCAGATGTTGAAAATATTCATTGAAAATCCCAGTGTTGAGCTCTTGGACAATTCTTAGAAAAAATTAGCAAAAGTCCAATATAAGAGCTTGTCCGACTTTGAAATAATTCATTTAAAAATCATTAAAATCTACGTCTTCGAGCCGCTGTTCAGTTAAAAAAAAAAAAAAAAAACACAAACACGGACGTTTAGTCTCATTAAACTCTTAAAAAATAATAAAAAAAAAATCCGAGTTTAGCAATTTTTGTTCAAATCTGAAAAGTTTCAGAAAAATCGATATTTTGGAACTGTAAGGAAACCAAGATGAAGTAGTAAAATACTCTTTAATTCAAATTTGTTTTATTCTTCGACGTTTTTATTTGAAAACATAATACTTTCGTTTGTTGTTGTTGTTGTTGTTTTTGTTTCTTTTTCAATTTGATTTCTTTGACAACTTTAATAAACATCTTAAAGACTAAGTAAAGCCCGTATAAAGTCTCCATTCATATTTGGTAATAATTATTTTAATTAGAATTTAAGAAAAAAAAATATTCAAAATTTTTAATTGCTCTTTTTTTTAAATTGATTGTTGCAATAATTTCGAAAAAAAAATAATTTTATTTTTTTCCTAAATTTCAATAGTCCTCTAGGCTATATAAAAATAGTTTCTTCAATTTTGTTGCTTGCAAAAACTTCCACTCTCGTCCATGCTATAGCATCAGGCATCTTAGTAACGAGTAAAAAAGCTGATTTT